ATAATGCCCAGAATTAGAGAGTCAGATGGATTGTACCTGCCACAGAGGCAGGGAGGGGGGTGGAGTGGGGGTGGCGAGAAGGACACTGGGAACAATGGTGGTGGAAAATATGCACTGGTGGAGGGATGGATGCTCAAGCACTGTGGGACTGAGACACAATCATGCAAGTTTGTAACTGTATCTCATGGTGATCCAATAAAACTTCTTAAAAGTGCCTCTCTTGCAAACCAAACACCCAAAAGGAGAGAGAGAAGAAAAGGGAATGGCCGGCCACAGAGACAGGGTGGGATGGGGGGATGGGGGGTGGGAGGGATACTGGGACCCGTGGTGGTGGAAAATGGGCACTGGTGGAGGGATGGGTACTTGATCATTGTATAACTGAAACCCAAGCACAAAAATTTGTAAGTCTGTAACTGTGCCTCATGGTGTTTCACTAAAAAAAAAATAAATAAAATAAAAATTTAAATAAATAAACAAACTTCCAGGGCTCCTGACTAAGGGAAGGAGTGAGGCTCCAGACAGAGTCCCACTCTGGGCAGACAAGAGCAGGAACAGACAGGAGTGGTATGCTCCAGTAAATTCAAGAGAAACCAGTTGGGCCCTCCCAGCTTCCAGACTCAAAACACCAGCTCTGCGGTGAGGCATCTCGGCAGCCATGCCACTGGCCAGAGGGCTGCTCTGTCCCCCATCTTGGAAGCCGTGAGCCACCTCTCTGAGAGTCAGTTTCCTGGGGCTGAAGCGATAGCATAGCAGGGAGAGTGTCTGCCTTGCATGCGGCCGACCCGGGTTCAATTCCCAGCATCCCAAAGGGTCCCCCGAGCACCGCCAGGAGTAATTCCTGAGTGCATGAACCAGGAGTAAACCCTGAGCATCGCCAGGTGTGACCCCCTCCCCCCCCAAAAAATAAATAATCTGTTTCTTCACCTGAGGAAGGGAGTGAGGTTTCTGCCTACCTGGGGAAGGCCAGGGCAAGAGCATCAGCTGGGCGCTGCTCACCATCTGGGGATCCGTGTACATGACCTCCCACAGCGTCCCTGAGGCCCACAGAAGCGAGGCCCATTGACGCCCGGCAGGCGAGATCTTGGGAACCCAGGGCAGTAGGGACAGTCGCCACTGTCACGCAGCGAGAAGAGCCAGAACACAATGAAGCCCATGACTCTGTGACCAAACAGCACCATGACCACCACTGCTTGTTCCAGTTCCTGAACAGTGTGGCACGAACTTACAGCTCACTCCATTTCCCTGAAAACGCTGTCTGTACAGCAAATTCACATTTTACTGCCTATTAGTACCCGATACTTAGATAACTGCCTTCTGCTAAGTCAGACTACTTGACCTATTTTTTAAATTTCAGCGTTAGCTGTTACTTCATTTATTTTTATATGCAAAGCCCTAGAAGGCAGCAAGCTGCCTGAGTGAAAGGCCGGGCCGGAGTCACGGGAAAGTCACTGCCAAATCTGAGGCGAACTCCGGTCCTCTTTATGTCAAAATCAGCCTTTATCCTCTCATGCGACACCGCCTCAATAATAAAGAACAGATCATTCATTTTTTATCTGGAAAACTACCAAACGGACGAGTCAGTCAGGGGCCTCGTGACCTCCCCACCTTGTCAGGGAGAAGAAAGTCTGTAAAAAATGAGGCTTGCAGGAGCAGACGGTTTTGGTCCGTCAACTTTCTCTTGGATTACACCCATTAACCAACATAAAATACTGGGAACTATAAAGGAACGGATCCCCATGCCCGTGGAAAGTCGAGTGAGCCTCACTGATCCTTCAGAGCTATATACGAAGCACCCAGGGCAATGGTTAACTCCCGAGGGGCCGTGGAATCATACATCAGCTAGATTCGGAAAGAAAAACAGGGCCGTCTCAGCATCTGGAGGCATAAACGCACAGTACCACAGAAATCTGGTTCCAGCAGAGCCCGAGGGGCACTGAAAACCATACCTTCATCCGGGCTGGAAGGGCACAGGAGACCCAGGAGGGCGAGTGGCTTCACTGAGACTTCAGGCAGATCAGGGAGCAAGAGCTGAAGAGCAAACCGACCCAGTACCATCCACTCCACTTGCCTAGCTCGCTTCTGTGTCCAGGCACAGTACTTTCCTAATCACCTACCTCCCGAGAGAATACGGGAGAGAGAGCAGGAACAGGAACAGCAAAACTCAGATTCACTCCCTGGCCATGTGCTCTTGTGCACGTCCCTTAATTTCTCTGATCTTACATGGTCTCGACCGCAAACTTTAAGTGCACAAATAAACTCTCGGTGATAGAAACAAAGCGCCCAGCAGATGGTCGAGGAAAGCCAAGAAGATGCCCGTGAAAGCTGCACGCCCCCAATACCCAGCTGGGAGCCTGGTAGGGCGCTCACTTGCAGACCCCTGGAGGAGGACATCAATGAACTGACAAGCAGGGTAGACACGGGTCTATCTGGATCTTAGACACGCGACTCAGAGGCACAGAGCTGAGGATGACACTGGACAATGCCACCGCTGCTGATGACGCACTGGAGTTGGATGTCCGTCTCTAGCCCCTGAGCAGGAACGAAGTCCAGGGGTGAGTTCCTGGTCGCCAGGTGTAGGAATTCATTCCAACTGCTAGCGTGGGTGGTGGACAAATGCAGCGCCAACACCCCCTGGCTCTAGGTCCTGGTTTCAGTGTGCATTTGGGACCCCGGAGACACGACTGCCCCACGCCTTAACTCCGAGCCTGGGAAAAGAAACGCCTCACAGAAACTGCATACAAAATAAAGGCACGTGTGTCCTCAAGCAAAGACGCATCGCTGCTACCACAGCCTTCTAGCCATACACAGGCTTCGATTATCTCTGCCCCCGGGTCTCACCTTCTTGAACTCTCTGTTCTTCCCTCTTACTTGTGTTTGATTTTGATTTGACCCAGTTATGTTACGTTTGGGGATGACTCCCAAATCACTTCTCGTCATGCTCTGGGAACCGGATGGGGTGTCAGGATCAGCAAGTGTCCCCCTGGCTTCACTCCAGTTCACTTCCTGATTTTTTTTTCACTTCATAGTGCTTTTTACTTCAGTGTCCTTGACACTATTACATCACATATTTGTTTTCCTGTTTACTGTACTCATTCAAGTACAAGACAAGTCTTTTAAAAAGACAAAGACTTTTTTGGTGCTTGTTTTATTTTCTGGTACATCCCAACAAGGACATGTGAGACATGTTCAAGAACTATTAGCTGAGCAACTGAATGAATCGATTCAACACTTATATGGAACTGACATGAGACACTGCAGAAATATTGATTTAAATATAACCAGAGAATGCAATTACAGGGCCAGAGCAATAGTACAGTGGGAAAGGTCCTTCCCTTACATGTGGATGACTTGGACTGATCCCCACCACTACATATGGTCCCCCAAGCCCCTGCAGCAATGATCCCTGAGCACAGAGCCAGGAGTGAGTCCTGCACACAGCTAGGTGTGGCCCAAAAACCTGAGAGAGAGAGAAGAGAGGAGAGAGACAGAAAGAAGAGAGGAGAGACAAAGAGAGAGAGAGAGACAGAATGAGAGAGAATAGAGGACAGAGAGAGAAGATAGGGAGGGAGAGGGAGAGATAGAGAAGAGGGAAGGAGAGAGGGAGAGAGGGAGAGAGGGGGAGAGAGAGAGAGAGAGAGAGAGAGAGATTACATACAGAGAAACTAACTGCCTACTATGGAATCAGAGATTTTTACATCACTTGGAACACTATAGTCACTGGTGACTGTTGTCCTTGTGTCTGTCTGCCCCAGAACCTATGTTCTATCTGTTCAGCATCAGCCACAGAGAACACTGTCAACATGAGTATCATTCCTGCCGGAGCTTCAGCCTCTCCTGTGGACGCCCACTGCGCGGTGAGTAAGGGCCAGACTCCCGTGGCCTGCGCAGCCTGAGTCCAAAACTAGCAGCCCCTACGCTCAGCCCAGCCCTCCCCTCTGGGTTGCAGGCATGCTGGCTTCCTCTTTCCCAAACCTTGTTTCTCTCTCTCTCTTTTTTTTCTTTTTGGGTCACACCCGGCGATGCACAAGGGGTTACTCCTGGCTCTGCAATCAGGGGTTACTCCTGGTGGTACTCGGGGAACCATATAGGATGCTGGGAATCGAATCCGGGTTGGCTTCATGCAAGGCAAATATCCTACCTGCTGTGCTATCGCTCCAGCCTGTTTCTCGTTTTTAATTTATATATATATATATATGCACATATATATATATATTCCTTCAATATTTTGTTATAAATATTTAAGTAACTGGCAGTACTCTGTTCCTCATGTCCAATATTCTTTAATACACAGGGACCAATGCGAAACTAGTTCCAGGAAGTGTGGATTAGCAATGTGGGTGACGGTGCAGCAGGTAAGGTGCTTGCCTTGCAGACAGCCACAACAAGTGAGATTCCCAGCAGCACATACGGGGCTCTGAGCCACAGCAGGAGTAATCCCTGAGCACCACCAGGTAGAGTAAAAAAAAAAAAGTGTGGGTTAGAGGCTTTTCAGGGAGTGTCAAGGTCAGGGTCAGCCTAGACGTGGGGCTTCAGCCAGGAACGCTCCTCCCAGCCTCGCTCTCCCCTTCCACCTCACCCAGCTCTCCTCGAAGTACCACCTGCTCTGTCCTTCCAGAGTTCTGCCAGGCCAATTCCAGCCCCACCACACTGCCCCTCCGCAGGTCACTCCTGAATGGATACTGCTTGCTTTTCTCTCCTCATAGCAGGCCACTCCCGGGAATGATTTGCTGATGTGTCCCATCCTCCCGACCAGAATGCAAACCACAGGAAAGCAGAGCACGCTGGCCAGGCTGACCACAGCCCCCCAACCCTAGGACACGGCAGGCTCTCCACAGAGCATCTCTGGATCCAGCAGTAAACTAGATCTCAGACGCTGTCAGTTTTCTAGGATGCGGGGTCCCAGGGGAGCAGGCGACCAACCTGACAGTCAGTACTGGGACGTTCACTTCCTCCAAAGACCACAGCCCCGATCACATCCTGATCTGCAGGGCCCAACTTACTTGGGGATGGGTACCCGGATCAGCGTCCCTTCCACTTCTGGGTTCAGATTCATTCCACTTTCTCTTATAGCCTTGATAGCTGCAGCTGTACACTGAAAACCAGATCAAAAGGTAAACAGAATTAGTAAATAATTATTTCCAGATGCAAGTCCTCCGTCGATAACTGGCAACCCATCTTGGCAGAACATGGAAACATTTAGTTCTGTTACCCGTAAGATCAGGAAGTTACATTGGTGTAGAGTGCCGTAAGATCAGGAAGTTACATTGGTGTAGAGTGCTTTGATCAAGCTGAATAGCAAACTATGTCCACTCCTGGTACCAGCGTACTGCGGGAGGGAAAAAAGCAAAGAGGAAGAAAAAATAAAAAGAAAACAGCTCTGCTTCTTTGAAAAGATTTCAACGGTTTGAGGCAACACAGATCAGAACCACAATGAATCCTCAAGGGAGGTGGGGTGGGGGGTGGGGGGGCTGGTCTGTGCAAAGATTGGTGTAAAGGCAGATGAAAGATTTTATACATTAAAAATTCCAGTTGACATCTTACACTCAAAATAGACCAGCGCCGATTGGGACTGGGTAAATAAATTTAACTCATTCGCATCTCCACTCACACGGACCCCACTCATATTTCAGGGGGAGCAAAGGGTCTCAGGGGGTCTGCGCAGGAGGATAGTGGACCCCCGTGGGAAGGTGCCTGCCGCAAACACTCTGTCCACAAGACCCTGGGGCACGCGCTCGCCCTCCCCGTGCTCTGCTGCTCCTCAGTGATCTGAAGCCAGGAGCCCCTGGTGCCTCACAGATGTGCCTGCCCTGCCCCGTGCCCAGGACACCCAGCTCAGACACGGGGACAGACCTGCTCAGCCACCGAGAGGCTGCACGGGAGCCATCACGGAGCTGACGTGATGTGACATGACATTGCGCTGTCCTGCCTGAGGCCGGGAGGGTCTGCCAGCCCGCAGAGTACTGCTCCAGCAGGTACAGGGCGGCACAGACATCCTAAAGTGCCTCCCATCACCACGAGCAACATGGCAGCCACGCCGGAGACCGTCCTGATAAAGATGTGCCGAGGACTGGAGCAATAGCACAGCGGGCAAGGCTTACACTGAACCACTGGTCCAAGGATTGCTGGGAGGAGCTCCTGGTCTTCTGAGCACTGCATAGGAAGCCCCCCCCGCCCCCCCCCCCCCCACACACGACAAACCAGAACTTCTACACGTAGACAAATCACATCCTCAGGAAGAACCAAGAGCATTTGCACTGCTTCCAATCCATTTGAAAACGGTCCCACCTGCCTACTGGGGCTCCCAGGCCCCCTGACCCCACCCAGCCCAGTCCCTTCATTGGGGACGCCAGGCACTTTGGATAAGGCCACACCTCTGAAGACCACCTGGCCTTCCCTGAGTGCCAAGGTCAGCGGAGCGAGCACCTCCCCCAGATGACTTCAGGTTACAGGGAGGGCTGAAGGAGGCTCCATGCTTCTCTGCCTCGGTGCCCCGAGGTGTCTCCCCAGTGAGTCACATGGCCTCTGAGTGGGCGCTGAAACCATCCTGAAGGGCAGGGGTAGCGCTGGGTGCAACCGGGGGTCACTGTTTACCCAAAAAAGGTGATTATCATGATTATTATTACCATCATGATTGTTTTGCACAAAAGAGGCAGCAGTCAAGTAACTCTGGAAACTTCTGTTCCCACTCAATGCATTCAGTAATTGGTTGGGAGGTGGGGCGGAGGTTAATTTATTAATAGTATTTATTTCCGCGGTGCCAGGCACTGAACCCCAGGCTCACGCACAAGATGTTAAGTGTTCTCCACTGCTGAGAATTATCCCTGGCCCGACTTTGCTTTCTTCATATTTTTAGTTTTGTTTTTTTGGGGGGGAGGCGGGGGGCACACCCAACAACATTTTAGGAGTCACTACTGGCTCAGCACTCAGGAACTGTTCCTAATGGTGCGGGGGACCATAAGGTGTGCTGGGGCTCGAACCCAGGATGGCTGCACGCATGGCCAACACCCTACCCACTGCACCATCATTCCAGCTCCATGTATTCTTCTGTAAAGAAAAATAATTTGGAATTATGTCTGGTGGATCAAGGCCAAGGTTAAGAGCTGGAGACGGGCAAGAGCGATGGCACAGCAGGGAGGACGTCTGCCTTGCACACAGCTAAAATGGGGTTTAATCTTTGGCATCCCCGAGAGTCCCCCAAGCCCTGCCAGTAGTGCTCCCTGAGCACAGAGCCAGGAGTCAGCCCTGGGCACAGCCAAGTGTTGCCCCAAAACCAAATTAATTAATTAATGAGCTGGATAAAAGAAAAAAAGGACACCTCCCCTGCAAGAAAAAAGCCCGCATGGAATGAAACGTGGACTCATTCCAACGGCAGAAGGAAGGGGTAGCCCACTTGGCTGCTCCAGCTGCTGCTGCTCCTCCTCCTCCTCTGTAGCTTCCCTCCAAACAACTGACACTCGCTGCTGTGCCATCCATCACCACCCTCTCCCTCCTCCATGGCACCTGCACCATCATCCACACAACTTTCCCTGCGGGCCCTCAAGACGCACTGCTGGAGCCACGCTAGCTGGTCTCCCCAGTGTCTCACTGAACTGCTCTCGCCTGTCAGAGAAACAGGACTGCCTTGCTAATCTCGCGTGTGCAGCCCTCTGGCACCTTATCTGGTGCTTCGTTTCTTCAGTATCCTTACGTGTAAAGGGGAAAAAAGTGGACTGCGAAAGGTCTGGTTTGGAGGGGAGTGGGGGAAGAGATTCCCCTTGTTGAAAGGGAGAGTTCTAAACCATCGTAAATACGGGGGTGCTGGGAAGGTGCCTCGGTGGGGCTCAGCTCCAGCGATGTGAAAATAACACAGAACACGGGGAACAGGACACCTTAGTCTGATGGGGCAGGGCTGCAGAGAGGCAGAGACGTAGCGTCACTTTCCAATAGCACTTCTGAGCCACGTGTGATCAGTGAGAAAGCGTTCACTGCCATGGCACTGACCTCTTCAGAAAGGAGGAACACCCACGCCCCGGTGGCAAAAGGGAGCACTGACCGGCAGATCGCAAGTGCTCAGTGGAAAGCCCACGTGGAGCAACTTCATGGGCTCCGCTGATCATTCGCAGCATCTGCCCCGCTGCTCATTATTTCTGCTTGGCGGCCACACCTGGCAGTGTGTCGGGCCGACCTCTGGCTCCTCGCTCAAGGAGGCGACAGTACGGTGGTGGGGACGGAAGCCGGTCAGCCAGAGGCCAGGCAACTGCCAACGCACTGTGCGATCTGTCTGGCCCTGTTCTTCTTCTTTGCTTATTAGCAAATCTATGCTAATAAATAAAAACTTTGGATAGAGAGCAACAAGACCCGAGGATCTGTGTTCAAGTCCGTTCTATAGTGCCATTTTAATGACTGGCTTTTCCTTTACCTGGACTGCGAAGAATACACATTCCTAGCCTGGCTCAACCATCGTGTCCCTGAAAAGCAAAGTCTAAGAGAGCAGAGATCTTTTCTGCCCCCTTGATCAACGAAATTCCCAACGCCTCAGAAAAGCTCAGAACGTGCAGGGACTCACATCATACTTATTGCCTGGCTGAGGGCGTGGGGGGACCATGGAAACTAGATCATCAAACTGAGCATGAGAAGTCCGTTTAAATCTAGGCCTTTCGCAATGGTGGGAATCGGGGCAGATGCTTCCCTGGGTCTCAGTTTCTCCATCTGCAAAATGGACTCTAGCTGCTCAGAATCTAGAAGTCTCTGGGTTCCACATGTGAAACGGAACAGCAGACAGCACATATGCCCCATGCACGTTCTTCCTTCCCTGAGACCTATAATGAGCTGGCAGATTTTTTCCCCTTCACTTGCCTTGCTCAAATCATGCTGTGGTTTTTTAACTCCCTTCTTTTCTTTCCCATCATTAAGTCTTGCTGCAGGCAAGTTTATGGAAGGCAGCAACTGTGTGTCTCATTCATCAAGCAGGACACATGTTAAACAAATGCAACACAGTTTTCTGTCTTCAGTGCATCTGGAAAGATTACGCATGTAAATCTGCATCGTGTCACTGCAGCATGACACAGAGAACGCTCAGGTTAGAAAGCACGCCAACCGCATGTGAGACAGAAAGGAATGACATAAACACCAGGAGGATTAGCTCAGCATTTTGAAGTACGAACCTGGGTACTCTATGAACGGCTTCTAAACCAGAGGAAGGAAATGTTTAGTTAGAGCTATTTGTTTAATATATACACCAGATGAGATAAAGGAATTCAAAAGACAATGTAACTCACACTTCCTCACTCTGTCCTTGGAAAGAATCTCTGGACTGACATGCTTGTAAAGGTTTTTTTTTTTTCCTCAAAACCCACAGAATTTCAACTTGGAAGAATGGCAAAGATGTTTTTTGTTGAAAAATGAAGATCTACTCCAACTTCCTAAGACAAAATTAAGCTGTTAAGACCTCCTCCTGCCTCCTAAGATGCCCTGGCAGCCAATCAGCTGCTGCTTCTGTGAATGCCATTTGCTATTTAATAACAGAAGTGGCTGGCTCTGAAAAGCAATCTGCCTGATGAGGTCTTCAAGCTGTGTAATTAGGAGGCCATTCCCTAAATTGGCCTGCAGTGCCGATGGGATTAGATGAACAAGCAGAGGGGCCTCCGAGGTTCAGAGGGGGCCAGAGTGAGGAAGAGTTGACAGTTCCCTTTCGGTCCATTTCCCTGCTCCACGGTCACACCAGAAATGAGTGCCTACCAGCCATCAACCTCCTGACAAGATTCACCCATCCGGGGAAAAGGCCCCAGGAGCAGCCAGGCACCAGCACTGTGCTGGGTGCAGACACAAGGAATGAGCCACAGAGAATTCCTGCATCCCACGCATAGGAAGTAATGAGAGTGAGATAAAAAGTAAATGTGTAAATAAATGCATTGCTACCATAACAATCAGTAATAGTAATAACATTGACTAGAGAGGTCGCGTTAGGGAGGTTAGCATGGAGGGGTGACTAAGATTGGGCTGGTCACTGCCGGTGGCGTTGGCGGCTGGACAGGTGTTGGATCACTGTATGACTGAAACCCAATCATGGACAACTTTGTTACTATGTATCCCACAGTGAGTCAATAAAAAAAAAAAATTAGGCTGTTCAGAGAAAGCTACCCAGAGAAAGTGATATTTAAGCTGAGATCCAAAACGAGGAGCAGGGGCCTGAGAAATTCTTGACTAATTTCCGAGAGTAATCTCTGAGCATCACCCAGTGGGTGACCCAAAAACAAACAAAGAGTAGACCAACAAAGAATAATGTTCCAAAGAAACAGAACGTGGAAAGGCCCTGAGGGTGCCAAGGGCTTGGCATACTGGAGGAGGACAGAGGCTTGTGTTTAAGAGTCTAAGAATGACAAAGGCAAGACCAGAAGCAAACAGACTGGCAACTACCACGAAGTTAAAGGCTTGCAGGCTACAGTCACTTTCTCTGAGAGATGAACTGAAGCCACTGGGAATGCACAGAAATGACATGCCTGAATGCAACAAGTCCAACTCTGGTGTGTGTCTCTAGACTAGAACCACAGAAACAGGTCCTGGGCGGAGGAAGGGACTTCGGACTCCTTCCCCGCCTGTTGGTACAGACCCGGAGGTACAGAGGCAGCCGGCTGACGGCAGAGCCCGAGCTGGCAGGAGAGAAGGCACGAGAGTTTGCTCCTCGAGGACGCCAAACTCAGGCCCATTCCTCTGAGGCCAATAAAGTAAAACCCATTTATCTTCCTCGGCTAGGCTTAAAATCATAGCTATCTGGCTGAGACAGTCTCATGCAGAGGTTTCTAAACTTATTTGGCTCACCACCACCTTTTCAGAAAAAAAAAATTACTCAAAGCCCCCTCTAGAAATTTACCTTCCTTAAGTGAACAAACAGGAAGCAGCCCCTACCCCCAACTGCACCCAAGGCCACTACCACCACTATGCGCGCGTGCACCCCAACACACACACACACACACACACACACTCCCTGTGCCCCCATGAGGTGGCATCAACCACTTTGGGGACTCTCCAGCCTCTAAAGCCCCAAGTTCTATGCCGAGTTCTGCAATGGTCACTCAAGTCTGAAGGACACAGTGATTCCTGGAAGCACCAGAGACTAAGACCAAGGTAACAAATTGATGGCCCAAAGGCCCAATTGTGCTCTATTTGGCTCACAATTTTACAACAAATAAACGAAAGTAAATTTTGTTACCAAAATTTTAACAAAATCTTACATGTAAGTGCCTTATCATTGCCTGAAAATTAAAACCCGTCGAGCCAGGGACCCGGGTTACCCAGCCTAGAGAAACAGCGCCTGGCCGCCTGGCCGGGTGCCAATCTCTGCCTCCCCACCATTGTTTGCCTTAGATGGGGTCACTTGAAGCGTTCAAATGACTTGCCTGGCCTTTGCAGCTTTTCAACAGAAACAGGAAGAGAGCTTTTCCTTATCCTCAAGTTCCCTTCGTTTTGCCCTCTGGTTTCATCCCCAGCTGAAGGCATCTGGATGCCTCCACTCGAACCGAACCCCAGGAATGGGACCCTCTCAGCCCGCTCGCCTTACCTCTGGGAAGCTGGCCATGTTCACCAGGATCAACTGGGGTGACTTCATGGAGATCTGGCCGATCTGGTTCAAAGCAAGTTTGCCATCAGCGGTGACCACAGTGATGTGGTCCAGGGACCCTGAAAGAAAAAGCGCAGGGCTCAGAATGACACAACAGCCCCCCCACCACGGCCTTACCCAATTCACATGCAACCAATCGCGTCACCAGGGCAAGGCTGAGGAAGGGGCTTTCATCAAAGCAGTGGCCACGTGCGGGAAAGAGCTCAGAAATGTTGACACGGGCGCGGAATTCTCTCCCAGCAATGAGGGTGGCCAACCACTCTGCTTCTCATAGGCGTGTGTGTGTGTGTGTGTGTGTGTGTGTGTGTGTGTGTGTATTTTCCTGCCTTCCTCCCTTCCTTCTTAATGAGGTAACACAGGTTCACATGCATGTAAACTTCATATGTTTTTGGCACGTACTATTACCCCAATACACCCACCCCTAAGGTGCCACTATCCCTCCACCATCGTCCACAGGACCCTTCCTATCTACTCCTCCACACTTGGTAACCTCAGCAGTCACCAGAGTCCAAGGGGCTTCTTCTTTCCCATCGGATGTCACTATTCTCTTGCTGTGTTTCTTTACACGCCACGCATCAGCGAGATCATTCAGAATTGGTCTTTCTCCTACTGACTTCCTTCATGTAACAAGACACCCACTAGTTACATTCCCGTTGCAGTGGAATGAAGATCTCATCTTTGCTTACAGCTAAGTGGTCTTTCTGCTATGTCTGGTTCAGTTCTTTATCCATGCACCTGTTGTCCCTTTAGGTCGTCTCCAGAAACTGGCAAACAGCACAGCAATAAACAGCTTGTACGTATCTTTGAATTCGTGTTTTTGTGTTCTTGGGATAGGTAACATGGAGTGGAACTGTTGGAACACATGATAATTCTACTTTTACTTTTCGGGGGGTGGGGTGAGGGAGGTGGGGGTAGACCACATCCAGAGGCTCCATTCCTGGCTCGATGGTCAGGGCCACGCCTTGCTATGTGCTCACTCAGGGCCACACCTGGCATGGCCGGGGGTTCAAACCACAGTCATGGCTGTAGCCATGTGCCAGGCAGCGCCTTAACCTCTGGACTAGTTCTCTGGGCCCCTCTTACCATTTCTGAGAAATCTCCACACTATTTCCCAAAGAGGCTGAACCAGATTGCATTCTCATCAACAGTGAAGGAGAAGGGGACACAGCAATGGTCCGGTGGGCCGGGAGGACATCTGCCTTGCATGTGGCCAACCCAGGTTCGAGCCCAAGCACCACATTTGGTCCCCCAAACCTAGCCAGGATGCTCCCTGAGCACAGAGCCAGGAATAAGCCCTGAACACAGCCAATGTGGCCCAAAAACAAAAACGGTGAATGAGGATCCCTTTTCCTTCATATCCCCAGCAGCACTAGTTTTTAGCCTTTTTGAATGTAGGCCATTTTCACTTGGTGTTAGGTGACATCTTACTGTCATTTTTTCATTTTGCAGGGATGGGGTCATGCCCAGCGATGCTCAGAGCTTACTCCTGGTTCTGTGCTCAGAGATCCCTCCTGGCGGACTCAAGAGACCACACGGGAGGCTGGGGACTGAGCCCAGGCTGGCCGCATGCCAGGCAAGCCCTTCCCCCTGCACTGTCTCCCCAGCCCCTTCCTGTCATTTTCGTGTGTATTTTCTTGAGCATTTTCTCATGGGCCTCCTGGCCACGCGATGTCTTTGCTGCAGTGTCTGTTTAGCTCCTTGCCCCATTTTCTGGTGGGGTCTTTTGTTCTCAGTTTTCTGAGTTCCCTCTAGATCGTGGAGAGCAGCCCTTTGTCAGATGTAGCGTGTGACTATTTTCTTCCATTAAGTAAAATGTGTTTGTTAAAATGATAGCTTCTTGCCTGTGCAGAAACATTTTACTTTGACATCGTTTATTTTCGCCTTTTGTTGTCCTTGCCAATGGAACCGAATCACTGAAGACGCCTCCGAAGCCCATACCCCGCGGTGCTTTCTCTGTGTTTTCCTCGGTGCATTGTACGGACTCAGGTCTAGCAAGGAGGTCTCTAATCACTTTAGATTATCTCTTATCTTGAAGACTGCAAAGAGCTGCAGCCCTACAGCAAAACTCCGCCATTTGCTGCATATGAGAACTCAAACACGTTATTTATTGTTTCTGGACCTCGGCTACAACACAGTCAAATATGATCCTTTAAAGGATTAAGAGAAAGAACATAACTAAGAACAATGTATAAGGGGGCTGGAGTGATAGCACAGCAGGTAAAGCATTCGCTTTGCATGCAACGAACCCAGGTTCGATTTCCAGCATCCCATATGGTCCCCTGAGCACCACCAGAGTAATTCCTGAGTGCAGAGCCAAGGAGTAACCCCTGAGCATCGCCGGGTGTGACCCAAAAAGCAAAAAAAAAAAAAAAAAAAAAAGAAGAAAACCAATGTATAAGTATATTATAATATTAAAAAAAAAAAGCATGCCAGAGCTGAGCCTTGAAAATTTTTTAAAAACTCCAAGTGGTACTCTGGGGCTGGAGTGCTAGCACAGCGGGAAGAGTGCTGATTCGATCCCCAACACCTCAAAGGACCCTCTGAGCCCTGCCAGGAGTGATCCCCGAGTGCAGAGCCAGAAGGAAGCCGTGAGCATTGCCAGATGTGACCCCCAAACCAAAACAAACAAACAAAAAGAAAACACAAATGCCTCTTATTAGCTCTTTTAGTTCCTCAAAAACCCCAGTGACACTGTATCACTATTTTCACTTCATTTGAGTTTTGCTGTTTTATTTATTTTGGGGGGAGGATGGGTGGGGGACACACCCAACAGTGCTCAGGCCTTACTCCTGGTTCTGTGCTCGGGGGCCTGTAGCTGGTGCTGGTGGTGGAACCCGGGTCAGCCACACCCCAGGCAAGTGTCTTCTACTGCGCTCTCTCTCTCCGGCCTCCACTTCATTCTCACCTCTCCCCCTTCCCCTCATCATCCCTGTTTTGTGGGTGTTGCTGTGACAACTTGGCTCACACACACTTCATCATGGGCACAGAACACCCTAACTGTGGTGCTCACCCGGACACCCCACACAACAGCGCCGCTGGACCAAACTCGAAGATGCATGCTTCCTCAGCAGACACTGAGCGCTGAGTCACACAGCCCTGGGCCACCGTACACCAGAGAAACGGAGACGACCGTGGGCTCAAGAGGCCGAGATCCCAGGTGAACACAAGGGCGGAGACGTCAGAGCCATGCACCAAACTCCGGGGCGCTTCATGGGTCCAGTCAGGAAGCCTCTGATTTCGGGGGAACCCCGATCTCAGATGTGGCCACACCACCAGCCCATCTCCCGAGAGCCTCCTTCTGCAGGAGCTTGAAAGTCTGCGATTTTGAGGGAGCCTGTAATTTTTTTTTTCCAGCTCACCACATGCTTCTTAAATGCAGTCGGAAGTACTGAACCAGATCCAATGGCATGGCAAGACAGAAGGCTGGTGACATCACTGGCTTCACTCTGGCAAAGGGCTGGAGGTACGATGGCAAATGTCTTCGTCTCTGTGCAGGCCAACCGAACGGGCTGAGGTCCTGGCTCGGCCCCCGTGCACTTCACTACCCAGCTCCACCACTCGGTCACCGGGGAAACCGGAAGGTCCCCCCAACCTTCGGGGCATGATTCCTAAATGCTGGGCTCATCAGGGCTGTTCTGAAGAAGAAATAATTTACAGGAGAACACAGAAATGTGTGTGTGTGTGTGTGTGTGTGTGTGTGTGTGTGTGTGTGTGTCCCGCAGATGCCAGTGCCTGAAAGATGTTAACTTTATTATTACTTCCTGACTTTCTCCCATTGTAACCATGCTAATATAGTTACACTTTCTCTAACCTGTCTGTTCTCTCCTGCCAAGGACCTTCAGCATGTGTTTTTGTTTTTGTTTTAGGGTCACACCTGGCGATATTTAGGGCTTACTACTGGCTCTGCAGGAATTACTCAGGAGTTACTCTCAGGAATTACTCCCGGCGGTGCTGGGGGATCACTGGGATGCTGGGATGCAGCGTAAGGCAAATGCCCCCCAGCTGTGCTATCTCCGCAGCCCCTCAGCATGTGTACTTCCTTCTCCTTAGAACGCCTTTCCCCGCTCACTTTGCCGTGGCTTGTTCCTTAACATCTGTAAGAGCATCCAATCTCAAAAATTCTGTCATTTCCTAGACTCAGTGACTAGCCCGTTTATGAGCTACATGCTTCCCAAGCACATTTCTTTGACAATGATAACCAATAATCACTGAACACATCCTCTGAGTATAACCTGGTGCTCACTGCTTCCTGCGCTTCATTTGCTCTCATCATCACGATACCTCCCTGAGATGGTAACCATTACCTCCATCACTCGGTGATGAGGGAACTGAGGCACAGACAGCAACTTGCCCCAAGGCCACAACAGATCTTAATAGCGGAGCCTGCACTCAAACCAGATTTTGTCAACCTCCACACCACGGTCTTCCCCTCCTTCCTATGAGCTGATTAACTTGTCTCTCCCTTTCCGGGCTGCTCTGAGCTCTCAGAAGGAGGAAGAACACCCTTTCTCTCGTATCCGAGGGCCAGTTAACTAGCACAGGATGAGGGCTCAATCAATGCCTTGATAAATAAATCTGTATCTCAGACAACTATTTAAAAGCAATCAACTATCTTGGAAACAGAAATTGCTGGAAGGGGCCAGAGAGACAGTACAGTGAGTAAGGTACTTGCTTGGCACGTGGCTGACCCAGGTTCAATCCCTGGTACCCCATATGGTACCCTGAGCCTGCCAGGAGTGATCCCTGAGTGCCCAGTCAGCAGTAAGCCCTGAGCAAAGTGAGACATGCCCCCCTCCCCCTGCAAAAAAAAAAATGCTGATAGATGGAGGTATAAGAGAGAAAAGTACCTATTAGTGCTGATGGTAATAAACGAACAAATGGACTAATTTGGAAAAAGAAAAAAAAAGGCTGAGTTCAGGCTGTTTCACCCATTCTCCTCACAGCCACGGGCTCTACGCGGAACATTCCACACACATAACTCTGAAGAAAAAGAAGCAAAGGGGAAATGCCAAGGGGAGGCCTCCTGAAAGCGATCCTAATGCGGCCTTCCTGACCTGCCAGGAGAGCCCCTGCTCCCAGAGTCCCACCACGGGCCTTCCAGGGTGTAATTGCGGTGCGCCAGTTCCCCAAATCCAGACCGACATAATGCATCAAATCCTTTTTCCCTCAATCTGTCCCCAGTGAGAATCTCCCTCTGCCTCACTCCTGCCCCTCACTCTCTCCGAGGTTAACGTTTAACAAATTACACTCCCAGCCTCTTTCCAGGCCCATCATCTTTTCAAGTTCAACAAGAGCAGAGCTCGCTGGCTAATTTTAAGTATCACGTTTCTCCCCAAGCTCCTCTCAAACGGCGCTCTGGTTTCGGCTGCAGAATGTTAACAGGCCAGAAAGCACAGGGGAGACAGAGCACTTTATCAGCTTCATACCTAAAATAATAAGCAAGTTTAAAGCAAACAGTTGGGGGAGATTGAATGGCACGCTCTACTGTCAGCAGGGGCAGGAACGCCCCAGCCCAGCGGCTGACAAATGATGAAACGGTCCTCTGGCTTCCTAGCGGGTCTCGTCTCTGACACCAGCAAGTTTCTGCTGGTGTTTATAAACGGAGCGGTACATTTTTCACTTGGTTTTCTTCAGAACAAGTTCACAAAGTGTTCCCAACTTGCCTTACTGACTAGGCCAGCCAACACGTGAACAGGAGCCGTGCAAACACTCCCAGGTCCCTTCAGAGGGTCCCAGGCTTCAGAGGGGGTCCCATCGACTCCAGAATGATGACAATTTCCACAAGGCCAATTTAACAGCAATTGGATTTTTCCTGCCTGCCTGCACCATTAGCTGACAACCCACTTCTTCTATCACATCTGCAAACAGTTCTCCCACACAGCTCTGACATTTCCCACTTAAAAAAGCCGTTTTCAGGAAGTCATTAACCCAAATGGAATCTTCCTGGTCAAGTGTGGGGGTACAGAAACGCTTCAGGTGGGCAGGGTTGCAGCCACTAGGTTCCCAAGAAGGGATAAGCAAGGCCAAATGGGACAAACTGGGAAAATCATACCAAAGAGTTATGAGACATAATAAAACTACAGGGGTTGATAGGATGGCTATAATAAAGCTCCCGTATTTTTCAGAGCGCAATTCTACAAAACCAAAGGCATGCCTACTTTTTCTACTACTCTGTACTAGTAAAACGCCTTGTTCACAGACACCAATATTTGCTGAGCTACAAAGCGAACGTGCTCTCAGTAAGCATTGTGCTAGAGTCAGCACAGAGGCCACCTTCTTTCCTTTAACACCCTCCCCAAAGCTGGAAAACAGGAATTAGACATGAGAACTGAGGACCAGGAAAGTCAAGTCACCGTTTATGGTTATCAGTTATTAGGCGACAGAGCTGAGACAAAACACCCGCTCTGTGAAAGCCAGGCTCTGTCCACGCCGTCCACCCTCCCAGAACACCGGGCGGCCACTAACCTGGTGAGGTCCTTATATTGACGGTCTTATTGAAATTCTCCTTCAGCGCCTCCATCACAGACTTCATCTCTCCATCCACCTCTTCCAAGCTGATGATATCTGCAACCAATGCAGTGTTGAGGTTCACTCTGGTCTGGGGCTGCCCTTTCCCTTTGGCTGGACGGTCAGCATCCGAGAGAGGGAGAACAGCAGCATAAACAGAGACAATAAACAGTTAGTGAAAAACTGCTGACTAGGACCAGAGACATAAGACAGAGAAGGATCTTGCCTTGCATGCAGCTGACCCGGGTTCGATCCCTGGCATCACAAATAGTCCCTCTGAGACCCACCAGGAGTGATCCCTGAGCACAGAGCCAAGGGCATAGTTGGGTGTGGCTCAAACGTCCATCCAATGCCTCCGCCCCACCCCCAACACACACATGTAGGGGAAAAAAAGCAAAACTTTATTATATGCAAGGCAAAACGCCAGATGCTGGAAAATGCTAGATCGTTCTCTATCACTGTCCGTACTCTAAAATGCTCTACTGAACTGAACAGAGCATTTTCGAGGACAGTTGGATGAGCACGCTAAGCAGTGCCTGGGACCAACCACCAACCCATCCTCCTGAAATTATTTGACTCAGACAGAGGGCGAGGGATTTGGAACAACGGTTAGGACCACGTCTTGCACAAACCCCACCTGAGTTTGATCCCAACCCCACATGGGTCTCGAGCACCGCTGAGTGTGACTTTGCAGCCCTAAACACTGTCAAGTGGAGTATCCCTGGTGATCCACCCCCAACTCTATGGGGCTGAGCACTGCACCACCTGCCCAAATGACCAAGTAGTGCAGGACCCCCTGAGCACCACTTGGGATTCCCCCCTCCACACTGAAAAAAAAAACAAACAAACCCTTTTAGTTATTAGTGAAGGCACGAGCTTTACCTGAAACACCCAGGGTGAGTTATTTCAATCTTGCACGTTCTTTATAAAAGTGGGATAATCAATTGTGGTTCATGGGCCATGACTGATTATGGGGCTGGGACCAAACTCAGGTGGGGTCATGCAATACATGGTCCTTTGCATTACTCCGTTCCCAGGAGTAAAGCAAAGACTCTGTATTTCTTTTGTTGTTGTTGTTATTGTTTTGTTCGGGGGCCACACACAGCAGTGCTCAGGGCTTACTGCTGGCTCTGTGCTCAGGAATCGCTCCTGGCGGATTGGGGGAATCGTATGAGTGGTGAGGATCGGACCTGAGCCAGCCAACATTGCCAGATGGCTCCAGGGACACAAGTGCAGTAAGTCGAAAAGCTAAAAGAGGACCAGGCACAGTCCAACTTACTAACTCCTTACTTTTCAGAAAAAAGAAATGTGGTGGTGACATTTATGAATGAATTATGATACAGCCATGAGAAAGAGCCACAACCCAGGGGAATTTCAATTAACCTGGCCCAAAACTGTGGCTCCGTGGCACACTGCAGTCCTTGCAGGTGCTGAGTCCTAGTTCAGTCCCTGCAGCCCCCAAATACTGGAGCACTGGGATCTCCGTCATGTTAGGGTGTGACCCCCACCCATGCCACAAGTGGGTGCCCCCTTGCACAAAAATGTAGCTCCCTCCCCAATATCACCACCCCAACAAACATGATTAATCCAACAGAAAGGAAGGAAAATAAAGAAAATGAAGACGAAGCACAAAATAACACATACAAATATTCTACAACCACAATATAAACAATAAACAGACCAAAAAGGCAACCAAAAAGTCAGAGACGGGCAGGACAGGAGACAGCTCCCAGGGCTACAGCACCTGCTTTATGTGCCTGAGCTGCCGGGTCTGAGCCTGGGCACCGCCTGGGTCCCTAAGCACTCCTGGAGTTGATTCCTGAGCACTGACCACTGACCCAGGTGTAGCACTGGAGTACCACTGTTGTGGCCCAAACTGCCAATTTCCCCCCCCCCCACAAAAAAGTTAGAGATTCTCTCTGGAAACAACCCAGATAAACTGAATATGTTTAAAAACAAAAACGAAACAAAACTGAAATAGCACAATTTAGCCAACTTGATCTAATTATTACATATAGAACTGTGAGCCCAACTTCAAGAGAATCCATGTTCTTCTCAAGCATACTTTGACCTTCACACAAAATGACCATTTTATCCCACAAACCAAATCTTTATGAATATCAAATACCACGCAGAAAATATTCTCTGACCTCAATGGGATTAAACTAACTTCACAAAAATACCTGTTTGAAATTTTTTTTCTTTTTTTCTTTTTATTGTAGGAGTACTGCTATTTATTCAGCCACTGATTAGCTGATTGAATTGTGCATGAACTCCACTGTTTGAAATTTTTTTAATGTTTCAAAATAACTCATTTGAGAAGAAACAATATAAATTTTAAAATATCTAGAAATGACAGTAATTTAGAAACACTGTGTAGCAAAAGCTTGAGCAATATACCTAGAGTTGAACTGAAACAAAAATTTAACAGCCTGAAGAGCTTATAAGAACAAAGGTCAAACTTGAGCAAACTGGCTTAGAGGATAAGAAATGAGAAGGAAATAGGGAAAGAAAAGAACAAAAGTGAAAATCAGTAAGATCAATGACAAGGTTTATCAAAATTAAAGGTTCGTCTTAGATGGTATTTTTTTTTTAGTATTTATTTATTTATTTATTTAATTTTATTTATTTTTTTTTTATTAGTGAAGCACCATGAGGTACAGTTGTAGATTTACAAATCTTTGTGCCTGAGTTTCGGTCATACAATGATCAAATACCCATCCCTCCACCAGTGCCCATTTCCCCCCACCCCCCCTTAGACGGTATTTTAAACTGACAAACTTTCATCAAGAATAACTGAGAAAACAGGATGTAGATGTAAATAAATAAGAAAAAGAAATACATTATCAAAGTAATAAAGATCTTAATCCTCTTAAGAGACTATTATTAAGGACTTTATACCAATAATTTGGAAAACTTTAGGAAAGTTTAAAATCTCCGAAAAACCTGTAACTTACTAAAAGTTAAAGAACGGAAGGAAAAATCTAAACTATCTTAAACTATTAAAAGAAATCAGAATGATGATTTGAGCCTATCCACAATCGGGTCCAAATCATGCAAAGAACTGAGAATTCTGATCTTTAGAGACACCACTCCATATACCACACCGCTGGAAGGGAGGGAAGGATGGATAGATGAAATGCCCAACTCAAGAAGACAAGGAGGATTCCAGAAAGTTATGCCCACCAATATCAGAAAGTTAAATTAAAGCTCATTTCACATTAAAATATAGACCCAGAATCTAAGCTACTATTAGAAAACCATATCAAGCAAAGTACGCAAACATTCTCTGTGATGAACAGGTAGTGCTTATGCCAAGAAGGCACAAAGTTTAACATCAGAAAAAGCCACTAATGCTGGTCTGAGTGTTACAAAGGGAACAGATCAGAACACAGTCACCTCAGAAAGAGCATTTGATCAAAACTTAGCACCACTGGAAACAAAAACCCTTAGCAAAATAGGGAAAGCATATATTTGATTACACAGTACTACCCCAAAAGTAAGCAAATTCTTGACAATATCCTATGAAAAATGATAGCACAGGGGTCACTGTCACTGTCCTCCCATTGTTCATCGATTTGCTCGAGCGGGCCCAGTAACATCTCCATTGTGAGACTTGTTACTGTTTTTGGCATGCTGAAGATGTCACAAGTAGCTTGCCAGGCTTTGTCGTGAGGGCTAGATTCTCTTGGTAGCTTGCCAGGCTCTCCGAGAGGGGCAGAGGAATCAAACGTGGGTCAACCGTGTACAAGGCAAACGCCCTACCCGCTGTGCTATCTCTCCAGCCCAGCACAGGGGTAAGGCAAATAATTGCTTTGCTCACATCCAGCCCCAGTTACATCCCAGGGAATGTATGTGGGCCCTTGAGCACCACCAGGAGTGATCCCTGAGCAGAGAGCCAAGAGTGAGTAAACCCTGAGCACCCGTGGGGTCACCCTGTCCCATCAGGTACCAGGAAGGGGACCGGCCAGACCTGTCTGCCCACCCCACCCCCCCTCCCTGACAACCACCAGGGGATGGCAGAAGCAGCTGGGACAAAGGCAGAACCAGAACCTACGTGCAAGGACTCCATCCATGGGGAGCTGCAGAGCAGCCAGCGCATGTGTGAATCATAAAGTTGCTGCAAAAAAATCCTCGAGAACAGGGAGAGACATTTTGAAGCTGCTGTATGTGTCCAGACTCAAGTTTTTAAATCTATTTTTTACTCTATCCAGCCTTTTCTGATACAGTTCCCGAAGCCCACTGGAACAGGGTGGGTAGAAGCCTCGAGTGCAAAAGTGTGTGTGTGTGTGTGTGTGTGTGTGTGTTGGGGGCGGGATTCGTGTTTGTTCAGTTAAAGATGGCAGATTGCCAGAGCGGGAGCTGATTAAATTTTGTTTTTCTGAAAAGAGGGTGGTAGGCCAAGTAAATCTGGGAACCTTTACTCGAATCCATCAAAACTCTGGCTCAACAGCGGGGTTTTAGAGGCGAGAGAGATAGCTCGGAGAGTTGCCTCAACAGCTGAGCACAAGCACTGGTAGACGGGGGGGGGGGGGGGGGGGGGGGGGCACAGACAGGAGGGGGCAGAGCAGGGGCATGGAATGGCCCTGTACCAATGGGCCCCTGGGCACGCCATGTGGCCCCAAGCACTGCCAGGTATGACCCTAAAACCAAAACATTAAAAATTAAAAAGCCTTCAGCTTCTGTTAAAATTTCATGCTTTTTTCCCTTCCGGCTTAAAACACTGTTTTTCCTGAAACTTTTGTCTTACCTTCTATTGCGAGCGCTTGTGTTAAGAGAAAAGTTGATGTTTACACGCTGTGCGATTTGAAAGCGCGGGTTTCTGTTTCTAAAGAAAGGTTTCCCACACGCAAAGTGGTGAGGGGCCCTTCGAGCCTTCTCGCTCCAGACCTGAGGGCTGGGGCTCCTTGGCAGGGAACTTAAAGGAGACATCTGATGTGCTCCAGACTTAGTTCTTGCTTTTGTGAACTCCCTGGCAGCATTCACACTCGCCCTGGGGGCCCTGGCCCACTCCCTCGATGCCCAGTTCCAAGACACCATGTATTGGAGGCAGTCTTGGCATCTCATACTGGACAGTTTAACCTTGGCTTGAATAAAGAGAAGTGTGCCTAGCTTTTAAAAAACAAAGTAAGACTTCAGTAGAGGACCATGCTTCAGGTGGCAAGGAATGCAGCATAAGGACAGTTAAGTGAGTAGTGCACCTAAATTGTGAACTCAGAACTGAAGCAATTAATACAAAAAGAAACCTGCCATGACAGAGGAGGATCACAGATCCCGGAGTAAGAATAGGCGAACCATTACGGGATGCCGAGACACACCCACAGAGAAAAAGAAACTCAAAGTCACATTTCCCACCTTACACCATATTCAGAAAGAAAATTCCACATGGTTTAAGAAACCCAATATGGAAAGTAATAGGCTTTAAAATATTCAAAGACACCCAACAGTGTTCTGACCTTAGGATATGGAAAGATTTGTTAAAGACAAAAGCACAAATGATTAGGATTAGAAAAAAGGATTAGGAAACAGAGCAAAATTAAAATTCGTGTTGTACAAAAGATATCATGAAGCAAATTCTTGTAATACACAATCCACAGGGTATTCCTAATAATGAAAGAATTCAACAGGGCTAAAAGAACAAGTCAAACCAAAGACTTTCTACAAAGGTAAATGAAAAGACAACAAAAACTAATCAGTCCCAATAGGAAGAAGGTGCTCAGGAGACGGAAGCTGGGGGCAGCAGGAGTCCAGCTGTCCAGCACTGCCTCTAAGGAGCAATGGCTAATGTCAACACGTGAATCTCAACTTTCTCATCTGCAGAATGGAGAGATCTGTGCTTCACTCAAGTATGACAGGAACTGGGCTGCAGGGATAGCACGGCAGGGAGGGCGCTTGCCTTGCAGGTGGCTGACCCAGGTTTGATCCCCAGCACCCCAAATGGTGCCCTGAGCACCACCAGGGGTGATCCCTATGTGTAGAGCCAGGAAGAAGCCCTGAGCACCACCAGGATGCTCAAAAATTAAACAAAAGAAAAAATACACAGCAACAAAAAACAACATAGGAATTTCTTCTCTGGACCAACATAATTCCTTCAAAGGATAATTATGAGAATTTAGTTATTAAATATATGTGGTGTTTTTCAAAATAACCACATACAGATCAAAAGAGATTATTATCTTCACTTGTAACAGAACATCAGGTTCTTTTCAGCAACTTGTCAATTCCCTATCAGAGGAAAAGGGGAGGTCTGTATGAAACCCTAAAAGAGAAGCCCATGGGGAAAAAAATACTCAGCAACGTATTTCCAGCTCCATCATGGGGGATGAACTCATCCATTCTACCACCTACTCCTCCATTCAACACAAATTTTGAGACTAACCCTCATCCATATCAGATCCTGGTAGGTGCTAACCCAGACCCACCTTCACAGCACGGAAGACATCTGGGGAACAGTCATCAGCCCAACAACTGACCAGTGCTGTGCTCTCTTCAACATCAGAAGTGAAACAACAAAGCACCCAAGGGCTGCGCACCAGGGTCCTGGCCCAGTCCCGGAGGTCAGCGAGAGGCTTCCCGGAGGAGGAGATGCTGCAGCTGGAGCTGCCGCCCAGCGGTCTCGTTCCCGGGCGAGACAGGCCATTAAGATCATCCATCTAAATCCATGGCTCTAGCCCTCTCTCCCAGCAACCTTCTGGTTCTAATTTTACTCCCAGCACAGATCCTGCGATAAGGAGCGAAGAGGTTGAGACCAGCCACAAACACTCTCATCTGCTTGGCACTCATACCCTCTGCCAGGAAATCTAAAAGACGGAACCGAACATTTTCTGCAGCCACACAAGAGCTCGGGTGGCAGCTGGGTGAGGAGAGAACAGAGCCAACATGCTGGCTCTGTCGCTGTGACCTGTGACCAGATGGAGTGAATCGAGGTCTCATGTACTCGCTGGACAGAGCGGGAGGCTGGGTACCCCTCTGAGATCACCTGCCCACTATGCCAATGCCAGGACAGAATTAAAGAAAGAGGTCCCATGTCTCTACCTTTGGCTTTCTTGGTAGCAAAATGACGGACAGGCACGGCTGGACAGGTCATGATCCGCTTGTGGCCGTTTCGACTTGCGCACACTGTCTTTAGTGAAACTTCTGAAACGGGTCTGACGAAGGCTGCAAGGGAGCTGCTGAGGGCAGGCTGGACCCAGCGGAAGCACCGGAAACCCAAGGCCATGGCTGAAGACAGGAACTGAAAAAAGAAGAGAGACAGAGAAAGATCGCTGTCAAACTGAGTCTATCACAATGCCAGAGAAGACTGTGTCCCCTTTGCTGAGCAAATCTTACCAGCTGAGTTACCACAGTAGGCAATTTAGGGCTCTCTAGTCTTCCTCCCAACAGCTATTCGAGGAAATGTGACTAGCCCATTTTATAAGACAGAAACACCAAAACTCACAGAGCTGTCCCTTGCCCAGAGTCTATAGGTCGCCAAATCCCCGTGCTCTTTCCACTGCACCAAACACCTCTAATGACAAGTGACTGTCCATCAGCCTCTGCTTTAAATATGCAAACTCAACCCCAATGTGAGAAAAGGCAGAAAATCTGGACACAGTTATACTATAAAGAAGGAGGGCAGCGCACCAGAAGAGGACTTGAAACGATGTCAGAAAACCATTTCAACAGGCATAAAATGACTGGAAAATTCACACGACAGCATTTAATTAAAATTTTCTTTGGTTCCTTATGCACTGATTACCAATTAGAGTACACTTTAATGTGTGCCTAAAGCCTGGTTTAAGTTTGAGGTTCCATGTCATAGAACTGAAGCTCTGGGAAATGTACCCCGCTTTGTGTTAACACAAGCTCCACATTATACTCGGGGCCTCTGACCATGAAAAGATGTTTGAGCCAAAAGCTACCTCGGAGATAGAACAGAGAACTTGCTAACTGACAAATACCAATGTAGCATTAATAGCTTCTACTAGGAATCTGGCTAAAATGCAGCTAAAAATTATGAACACTTAACATCAAAGACCTGGACGAAACTCTCTTTAAAAATCAGGGGCCGGAGCGATAGAACAGTGAGTAGGGGGCTTGCCTTGCACATGGTCAACTCAGGTTCAATCCCCAATACCCCATATGATCCCCAAACCCCACCAGGAATAATTCCTGAGCATGGAGCCAGTAGTAATCCCTGCACACAACTGGGTGTGGCCCAAAAATAGAATTATTCTCAGAACTCATTAAAAAAAGAAAAAACCTCATCCAAAATTTTTGATGTAATAGAATGACCTAAATTAAGAGACGTCAGGAAGATTTAAAATCCAATCCCAGCAATACCCTCCTGGCTAACTGCCCCTGAATAACTCTGTACCTTGGTTTCCTTAACTATAAACTAGGTATAATTATGTTTCTCTCTTAGGGTTGGGAGAAATAAATGAAGTGATGTAGGTACACCAGCTGGCACAGTGCCTGGCGGATGGCAGGAGTCAAAAACGAGGGTATCTAATGAGAGTTACCGCCTTCCTCTTAAGGGATTTCAAGCCAGGGTCAGACACAATAAAGAAATTATGTGTGTAATTACTGATGTACAGAGTAGCCCAGAGACAGTGAGTTCTAGTGAGAATTTCGACTTTTGGTAATTCACCCCAATTCTCTGGGTACCACTACCCATTCTGAAAAATAAGAAAACTCATTTTTCTCACTAGAGCTTCTTAAAATGAAATAGTGAATACATACAAAACACCTAGCACCATGCCAAGAATCAGTTGCTTAACTGATGATGGATGTCAAAAACTGGTTAAAAGAAAAGCAAACGAATAAAAATAAAAATAATTTCTTCAGATAAGGTTTTATTTTATTTTATTTTATTTCGCTTTTTGGGTCACACCCAGCGATGCTCAGGGATTACTCCTGCCTTTGCACTCAGGAATCACTCCTTGCGGTGCTGGGGACCATACGGGATGCTGGGAATCGAACCCGGGTCGGCCACGTGCAAGGCAAACACCCGACCCACTGTGCTATTGCTCCAGCCCCAAGGTTTTATTTTTTAAAAATAATTTTTTTTTTAGAGCCAAAGAGAGAGTTCCAAGGGTTGAAGTACCAGGTCCTAGGTTTGAGTCCTGCACCACCCCAATACAGCCGGATGTGGGCCTGTCAGAACCCAACACTACTGGGCATATACAGCTTCACGAGCCTGGGCCCTGGCACTGTATGGTCAGGGACCCCCACAACAGCAAGAGTCACCAGAAGTGGTCACCATGCGGGGGAGAGGGAAGGAAGAGTGTGCAGGGCCAGGAAAAACAATTGTGTCTGGAGCCAGAGAGCACAGTGGGTTAAGGAGGCGCTTGCCTTACACATCCTGACCCTGTCCAACCCTGGGCAACCACATGGTTTCCTGCTGAGCAGAGCCAAAAGTAAGCACTGAGCACAGTCAAGTGTGACCCAAAACAAAAGCAACAAAAAGGTGGACCTTCTAAGGGAAGGACTCTTTCTTCCTCTTCTTCTCCATTATTATCGAGTTACAACTAACTGAAGTCAGGCCTGGGCTGTTTACTGTACCATATCATTTCATTTAACCTGCAATAATGCCCCAAAGAAATCATCATAATCTCCATTTTTCCGATGAAGAAACTGAGTTCAATAAGATTACACTGTCCAAGGGCGTGGAGCTCACAGCCCCACCCTACTTCAGCAAATTGTTTACAAAGATCTGGCTCAAAGTGAGGTTTCTAAATCTAGGTTTTTGCCTAATACAGGCAACCTCAGGCCCTCCACACACCTCCAAATATGGCTGCATAATAATGTGTGGGTTTGGTTGGGCTTTGTTTTTGTGGGTTTTATTTTTTTTATATCTACAGGGTCTCAAACTGGCTACTCCATTTAAGTTTCCTGGTGTTCCTGTTGTAGGTCATAATACCAATCCACAGAGAAACAGGAAATAAAAATGGGTTAGAAATAAACAACCTTTGACAGAAAATGCAACACCCGAAAGCAGATCCAGAACACGTGAACCGGAAGACAATGCTATAAATAAATCACAGCGCTGAGATGCTTGAGGAGTATTTTAATTGCATGGAAGTCAGGAAATTTCAAAGTGTAAGTTCAGTAAAGGCAATCTCTTTGGGCTCTTTACCTTAAGAGCATGCATACTGATTTTCAAACCAACACAAAGAAGTCCAGCAAAGAAACTATTATGGAAGCCCAACTTTTTTTTTTATCATTTTTTTTATTAGTGAAACACCATGAAGTACACTTATAGACTTATAAATTTTTGTGCTTGGGTTTCAGTTATACAATGATCAAGTACCCATCCCTCCACCAGTGCCCATCCTCCCCCACCACGGGTCCTAGCATCCCTCCCACCCCCCATCCCCCCCCCCACCCTGCCACTGTGGCAGGGCATTCCCCCGTTCTCTCTCTCTTCTTTTGGGTACTGTGTTTTGCCAGAGAGGCATTGAGTGGCAATCATGTTTGGTCTATAGACTACTTTTAGCATGTCTCTCCCACCCTGGGAGGGTCTTCACAACACCCTTTATTTGGTGCTCTCTTCTCTATCTGAGCTTCCTTCTCACCTAGCACATGCGGCTGGCCTTCAAGTCATGGAGCAAAATTCCTGGTACTAATCTGAGCCCTTCCTGGGTGTTAGTCTCCCGTTTTGTTGCTTTATGTTCCCCAGATTAATGCAATCTTTCTGTGTCTATCCCACTCTTTCTGACTCATTTCGCTTAACATGATACTTTCCATGTAGTACCACTTGTATGTAAATTTCACAACTTCATCTTTTCTAACAGCTACATAGTACTCCATTGTGTAAATGTACCAAAGTTTCTTTAACCAGTCATCTGTTCTCGGGCACTCAGGTTTTTTCCAGATTCTGGCTATTGTAAAGAGTGCTGCAATCAGAAGCTAAGTAGCGGGAAGCATCTGGGCTTTGGATGCAATCTGGAACTGAAATCTCAGTTCCTCTGCTTACTGCACTGCGACCTTGGGTAGTTCTTTCAGCATCGCTGAGCTATAGTTTCCACTGCATCTTTATCACACTGATACAAATGTGTCTTTAAAAAGAATTACTGTTTCAGGGGGGCCGCGGCAATAGTACAGGGGATAGGGCATTTGCTTTGCACTAAACTGACAGGCAGAACCAGGAGTAACCCCCAAAACAAAAACAAACAAAAGAATTATTATGTTTTATAATAATGAAACATACTTACATAGGGGTTGGAGTGATAGCACAGCCGGTTTGCCTTGCACGTGGCCGACCTGGGTTGATTCCCAGCATCCCACATGGTCCCCCACCACCAGGCGTAATTCCTGAGTGCAGAGCCAGGAATAATCCCTGTGTATGACCGAGTGTGACCTCCCCCCTCCCCCCCAAAAAAACAAAGGCAAAAAACAAAAAAAAACATACTTACATAGTAGTAATGCATACCAGAAATAATTCTAAGTGCTACGTTCATACATTAACTAATTTGAGCCTAATGATAAACCTACAACTGTCATTATTATATCTATCTGACAGATGAGGAAACAGTGGCACAATTTGCCCACGCCTTGATTTCAATCATTCAGGTTTCAAAGTCTACTTCTCCACTATTTTATACTGTGTATATAAAACAGCATAATCCCTAATACCCAGCCAGTACACAATAAATAGCAGCTACTAAAGCATTATTCAAACTACTAAGTCTTTTTAAAAACTATTTGAGGGGTTGGAAAGCTTTTATAGCAGGTAAAGTGCTTGCCTTGATCTGAGTTACACCCCTGCCATCCCAGATGGTTCCCCGAGCCCCACTAGGAATAATTCCTGAATGCAGAGTCAGGAGTTATCCCTGAGGATCACCAGGGGCAGCCCCAAAAACAAACAAAAATAACCAAACTATCTGAAGCTTTTTTTTTCTCCGAAAATGAAGGGTCGAAAAACTAAAATTTTCAGGAGACCCCAAGTCATCGCCCACGAACGGCCTCTCTGGCTCTGGATCAAGCTGCTAATGGCCATGATCCCAGAGACTGAGAAACAAATCTCGAAACCCAGCAGCTTTTGGCAGAAATGCGTCCGGAGCAAGCAGTAGGTTACTGTCGCCAGGCCACCCCAGGGGGAAAAGGGTGTTGTCCCTCTGCCTGCGTCCCCCTGACAGCTCGGTGGCCATCATCCTCCAGAGGCCACTGGACAGTCAGGTTTAGGCCCGTAGTGATGAGACGCGCAGGGCCTCACGGGATGGGGGTGGAGCCGGTCCTGTCCTCCTCA